CCCCCCCGGTGCGCGTCGCCAGTGATTTAGAGTTTTGCATTGGACTTTATGTCCTGCACGCATTTTATGTGTTCTATGCGTCAATGCAATGCAGAAACGTGTATTGTCAAGAGGTCGTCTGTGTGTGTGCGTGTTTGTGTGTGTGTGTGTGTGTGTGCGCCGAGTTTTCATCTCGAGACCTACAAAAGCTACTAGGCTAAAACATTGCTAACTTAATCTTCACCTCTGTTCGGGCCCCCTCAGATTGAACGTTGACTTCTACGTGATTCTCATGTACGGGCACGTAAGGGATTATCTGGCGGGAAAACGATTTCAGGGACCACACAAGCTAAAAGGCCGAAAGCCCACGAAGGTATCCCACGCCTATGTCCAACCAAAGGATTTTAAATTCAGCCCTCACGCATTCCTAAGTCTCATGTTCGTGCACCTCAAATTTTAAATTGGCATCGTACCAACTCGAGAATTAAGCTGGCCAAGAAGTTGCACAGTAGGGAGCTATAATTTTACAGCGTTGTTTTTTGCCCACAGGTGTGCCTGTGAAAGTGAATTGAGCTTTCCGGCTTCCCTGCATCTTACGCACGGATGCGTGAATTTGACGTAGACAGTTTTGTAACTTCGGTATTGAAGCAACTAGAGGGCTGAGAATTTCTGGGCGTGGCGGACGACAACGTTTGGCCAGATGGACTTGAAAACAACCTTTACGTCCCCTTAGTCTCACATATGTGTCACGTACAGACGCGTAAAGTTTGACGTAATTCCGCAACTGGAGCAGGTAGAGTGCTCAAATTTTCTGAGCATGGCCCAGGACCGTGTCTGAGCAGAGACACCTAGAAACTATTCACTTTCCCCTCATGTACAACCATGTGAAATATGACGTGACCCTGAAACCAAGACAGCCGGAGTGCTCAAATTTGCTGAACATGGCCCATAGTTGTGTTTGGGCAGAAACACGTAAAAGAAACTTTCTTTTCTTCTCACGTACAAACACGTGGAGTTCGACGTAACCGTGCAAAACAGAGCAGCTACACTGCTGAAATTTCCAGAGATTGCCTCTCGAACGTGTTTAGGTAGACGCACACAAAAAAAGGAATTCTCCGTTCCCCTCGCGTACGAACACATGGAATTTGACGTAACCCTGCAAATAAAGCAGCTGGGTTGTTGAAATTTTCTGGTCGTGGCCCAGGGCCGTGTTTGGGCAGGCACACGTGAAAACGACAACATCCTCATCCGCTTCACACACGAACACTCAAAATTTTAAGGTAAATCCGCAACCGAAGCATATAAAGTGCTGAATTATTTGAGTGTGAATTGAAAGTCACTGTAATAATTTCTGACAGTCGTGGTGGCCACTCTCAATTCTTTTAGTTAGAAGCATCTGCCGGAGAAAACAGTGCCGTTAGAGACAGAAAACCTGCAAAGAAATTGCACAAAAAACGCATCTTTGCGGCGGTAGTTGGTGCGCTGGCGAATTATTTCCTTTTCAACATGGTTTCGTCAGTCGCGATTGTCTACATTGCTTTTCCGGCAAATCTTGTGTCCTTCATGCTGTTTTTATGCGTTTTTACCGTGCAGCGCTGGAGCGCTGCAATAGGCAGCAAAAACGCATATTACAACGACTCTGTCAGTGTGTGCGTGTATGCGTATGTATGTGTGCGTGTGTGTGTGTGTGCGCGTGTATTGGGGGTGTGTGTGTGTTCGTCTCTCCGGGTGTTTCAACTAGCCAACCACGGAAGCTTTGAAGCTGAAATTTTGCCAGTGTGTTCCTCAGCCAAGTGCCACCCCAGGACCGCGGTACTAACTCTCATGCACGTCTGGGCCCCGCCGTAGAGCACGTGAAAGTTTTGGCGCAAAAATCGCTAACTCGGGAACGAGAAAAGCTAGAAAGCTGAAACGCTGGGAGAATGTTCCCTATCCATGTGTGACAAAAAGATTTCAAATTCAGCTGCCCAGGAGTGCCCGGGGCTTACGTACGGGCAGTGAAGATTTTGGCGGGAAAATTCGTAATTCGAGAATGAGAAAAGCTAGAAAGTTGAAACTTTGGGGGAATATTCCATACTCATGCACGACCAAAAGTTTTCAAATTCAGCCCCTTAGGACCGCCAGGGGCTCACGTGCGGACACGTGAAAATTTTGGCGCAAAATCACTATCCCGAGAACGGGAAAAGCTGGAAAGCTGGAACTTTAAGGGGATGCTCCCTACTCATGTACGAGCAAAATCTAGTGTTTGGAAGCGCCCGAGCCCAAGTACGCGCACGTGGAAATTTTGGCGCGAAAATCACTATCCCGAGAACGGCAAAAGCTGGAAAGCTGAAACTTTAGGGTAATGTCCCCTATTCATGTATGACCAAAAAATTTTAAATTCAGCTCCTTAAAACCGTGCAGTACTCACGTACGGACACATGAAAATTTTGATGGGAAAACTGCTAACTTAGGAACGGGAAAAGCTGAAGGCTTTAC